AACAGTTTTACTGGGCTATTACCATCATTTTACACTGGGATGCTCTTAACTGTTGAAGAGCTACTGCTGTCCAGCTGGTTTGAAGTCCAGCATCCAGCTTGCCTGAAGATGGGGAAGAGGACATAATAGAACATGAAACATCTCAGTCAGGCTATCCCAGCTCACTAAAGGGTAAAATTTTCAACTTACAAAGAGAAGTTTTCATACTTTTTTCCCCCTCAACACCACCCAGGGCAACGTTTGATTCAAAGTGTGTAAAATCAGCCTGTGAAACTGTTATGGGAAATATTTTGAGTGAATGTATTGGATGGGACATAGCTATTGCTGCTGCACATTGATGTGGACGTGGTCAGGAGAAGGAGCAGTTGACAACCAGCTCAACCTGGCAGCTCCTGCCACTCAGCCAGCCCCACAAATCCAAGACATGCTACGCTGATGGGGGAATTCAAAAGTTGAGGCTTGAAAATACTACTCCAGGGAACACCTGATAGATTTGTAGTTTGCACTAGACAATTCTATTTCAGAGTTTGCTGGAAACCAGTAATTCTAACATATTTATGTAAAGGTTATAATTCTGTTTGGTAGGAGTCATGGGAACAAAGCAATAGCTTGACAGATTGTAATCAGGCTTTAAAATAAAACTCCTCTCCACAGTGTTATAACTGGCCCATCATTCTCATACTTAATAAAATTCTTGATAGGCTATAACTAAAGGGAGACAGGTCTGGAAAGACCTAAAACTACACATATTAATACCAACAAAGTGTGTTACAGAAGTTGTGATAAATTACAGCTTTTTCTACTGAGCTTTAGCCAAAACCTTTCGGATAGTGGTAGATAAACTAAATCACAATATTTTTACAAATTTTGTTTCAGATCAATTATCCAAAGATTTAAGGGCAATGTTAAGGCTATGTGCCTTCATCTCATTTTTAAAAGATTTAGTATTTAAGCCTTTTTTCTCTGTAAATTGTACCTGTGGGACCGAGCTTGCCTTGGAAGAAGCAGAAAAAAACCCCACAGCAAAGCAACACATGAAGAATGCCTTGAGAAGCCCAGTGAAACCACAACTCATCTCCCAGGCAACACCTCAGTACTCCCTGAGACAAGCACAAGTCTTACCAATACAGTTGCCTAGAGCATCTTGTATAAAGCCACTCATGCACTGTTGCTTGGGTCGGCAGCGGAAGGATCCTGGAGTGTTCTGACAGATAAAATCGGGGGGGCAGTTATGAGTACCAGTCTCACACTCGTCAATATCTGGTACATCACAAAAAAAGATTGTTAGCCAGGCTTGGAAAGAAGCTTTTTCATCATATTTAAAAACATAAGACAGCGTTCAAAACGTCCTGAGGGGAATCCTCAGCGTCCCTTCATTGATCCAGGATCAGCTCCTCTTGAGCCTGGATCCCTGCATTGAATTGCTGCTACCTCAGACAGAATCTCAGGAACAATCAGGACAGCAATAAAAGATTTTCTCATTATTTCATTATTAGCATTATATAGAGAGGTGGGTGTATATATATTATGCTTTACCAGTTTATTTCTCATTCAAAATTACTACAGAGCACCTGAAGCATCATGCTCAGCAGTGTGCAGCCTTGACTGAGCTTAGACATGGGCTCAGCTTTTAAGTCAGCAAGATTTAATTACATGTCCAAGTGTAATTTTAATTTTAACCTTAGAGCCAATACAGACATTGATCATTTCTTCCATAAATGAATTAATTTGCCTTGATTTTCATCGTATTCAGGCTTGCAATATCCTTGCATTACTGTGCTTCAACATGAACATAAATATGATTTAGAATCACAGAATCCTTTAGGTTGGAAGAGACCTTATATTCCAGTCCAGATCAGACTAGACAATCAATATTTGTGAACAAATTATGGTTCAGATAAAGCAGACAAAGGCTAATGAGGCTTCATTCATACTATATCTTAGGAAGTTCTTCAGTCCAAGGCTGGTGAGGCTCAGGACTGGGTTCCCCAGAGAGGTTGTGGATGCTCCTCCCTGGAGGTGTTCAAGGCCAGGTTGGATGAGACCTTGAGCAACCTGGTCTAGTTGAGAGGTGTCCCTGCCCATGGCAGGGAGGTTGGATGAGATGTTCTCTAGGGTCCCTTCCAACCTCAGCCATTCTGTGATTCACAAATGTAACCCTGTCCACATAAAAGCAACTCAAATTTTATGTTGGCCACCTTGCAATGGGATGAAATCTCCTAAAGCTATTAGAATACAGCTTTCTAGCAATTTTCTTTCCCATTTATCCAGCTGACACAAGAGCAGATGAAACTGCTCATCCCTAGCACTTTGTGAGACTTCAATCATTACCATGGAGCTCATTTTAAGTTTAGGATGGGTTAATACTGAAGTTGGTTCTGCAGGGATCTATAGATTGCACAACTCATTCATTTCACTTGGCACTGAAAAATCATACATGAAGATTATTGATTTTTTATTTTCATCACTATTAAAATAATCTTAATAATTAACATTAACAGATCTTTTCCAGATAAGAAATGTCTAACATTAATTGCATGCATAATTTACTACCTGTACTCCTTCCTTGCCACCAGACAAAGATTGTTAATACTTGTGGGTAGACTCTTTGTTGGCCTAAATCTGATATCATTCAAATCAGCAGAAATTTTACTTCAAAGGGATCAAAATTAGACCATGACACTTTGAAAAACACTGTCTGTGTGTTCTGCAGGTTTTGCATTGGAGTTTATTGGATTTTTTTATTATTCATCACTGATGAGTTCCTACAACAAAACCTCACCTAGAATTTTGAGTTATTTGAGTCAGTGGAATAAAATCAGTATGTTTATAAACACTTCCAATCTCTGGTGGAACAGACTCTCTCCTAGTGGAAAACAATTCCACATCAAAAGGAGTTTGCTACCAACTTGTATCTCTGTGAAGGCTGCATGGCAGGTGAAGCTTTAGATGCACCAACAGCATACTTAGAGCTAGATCCAACTTGAAATCAGTCATTTCTTTAGTGAAAAAAACACAAACTCACACTTGTGTTCAAACCTAGCTAATCAAGGGCAGGGCTTTTAACACTTTTTCATTTTTAAATCCTTAAAAAACGTTGTGATTAAGAAATGAATCCCCTTGTAACACATTTAAACCTCCTAAGGATAAAGACTTTTTAAAAAAAGATGGAGCTACCTCAGTGTTTTCAAATTGAATCACCTCACCACTTCATTTCACACTCCAAAGTGTGCAAACATGATTCTTTCAGATGAAACTAAACCCTACTGGATAGTAGATAACTAATGCAGTTATCTACTCAATGAGGGACACCCCATTGTGAGGTGGCCCTGCTCATGGCAGAGGAGTTGGAAGTGATCCTTGTGGTCCAACCCTGAAAGATTCTGATTCTGTTTTTGCAGAGGACTTAGTTGTGTTGGCTTGATGGTTGGACTTGATCTTGGAGGGCTCTTCCTACCTAAAGGATTCTCTGATTCTATGATCTACATCATGGAAGTCTTTGCAGTAGCCCACAGACAGTCTGCTTTTGTATCTGCAAGGTCCCAGGTGGAAAACCAGTGTCCCAGAACTAGCACTCTCTGTGTGCCCCTTTATTTACCAAAAGGGAAAGAAGTACTTATTCCTCCACTTGTCTGGAGGGTGTTAGTCTCCCTGCCCAGGACATACCTTTGCAACGACTGTCATCTGTCAGTTCATAGCCAGTCCCACAGCTCGTGTCCCGCTGGCAGCGAAAGGATCCCAAAGTATTGACACAGGTCTGGCCAATCCCACAGCTGTGTGTCCCAGTGATACACTCGTTAATATCTACAACATCCAGAAGGGTGAGAAAGAAAAAGAGAGAGTAAATAACAAACATTAAACCCTTGGGAAGAGCTGAGGTCAAAGGCTGGCTGTGGGCACACCTCCAACAAGTCATTACTGTGAGATCAGGGTATAAAGTGTGGTGTGGCCTTGGCTACTCAGCTCTGCTGTCACAGGATGAGCCAGCAGAGATGGTTTGATCCCACTGGGAACAGCCCTTATGACTGCTGATCACCTGTACTTAAAGAGGAGGAAGTTGGCCAACATCATCCAACTGAGAACAGTAGCAGATGGTTGTAGTGGCAAGGATTGAGGAATGAGGCAAGGATTCAGGAACCCTTCCTTGCTCTGCCTCCCACCAACATATGGCCCAGGGACTCTCCAAACCACAAGCTGCAACCTTCTACTTCACAGCTACTGACAGACATTTCTGCTGTCAATATTTTCATTTTTTCTCTGAATGCATATGAGAATTCAGCATCCAGATGTACCAAATGTAAAAGTTGTTCTTTTTTATATTTGACCCTAGATTAGTGTTACTATAACCCCTCATCACTATCTACTTTATATTCTGAACTTTGTATCTGAGCTACTGACCTAAAGTGTGACCTGGAAGTGTTTGTTTCTCTCAGATGGCAACAAAAGGAGCCTAGGCTGACTAGCTCAGAAGATGTCTACAGGTCTGAAGTCAAGTGTGATGAGCTCTGTGCCAGCTCAGTTCAGTTGATATCCCTTTTAAAGTTTCTGAAATTTAACAATTCTTCCCCCTTGACTACTCCCATGCCACTCACAATACCAAAACTTTCCTCCTTTCTGTGAGCTGTGTCCTTAACAAGCTGAAGAACCCTACTCTCTTTCAATTGCCTTATCAATGACTATCTCCTTTTTCAAAAGAGAACAGATATTTATTTTGATATTTTGGGGTTTTTTTTCCACAACAATAAACTCAAGATATTCTGCCTTATCTCCACTCCGAGTCTTCCATCCTCCTACTGATTCTTTCTTAACTCCACCTTCCCACTTGCTCTTTTAAAAGAAGGATGTTGATAACTGAGGCAATGGTTTTGATTTCTTTTACCTTCACAGTTGACCCCATCTGGTTGGAGCTGATACCCAACAAAGCAGGAGCAGACGTAACTGGATCCTGTGTCTCTGCACTGCTGAGAGCAGGGGCCACCACCTAAGTGGATATTTAAGAAGTCTTATATAACCCAGAGCCTTTTCACAGGAACTGATGAAAACCATTAATTTATAGGTTGCCTGCTGATTTGGTTAGAAAAGCAGACAACTAAACACAAACCTATACAAAAGAAGGAAAGAGATAAACCATAAAAAGTGTTTGGAATCACTGGATTCTTTTAGCTCTAAAAATGAATACAAGAAGGGAGTAAATTGTGGAGCCACTCATAGCCTATCATTGTTAAAAGCTGTAGGGGAAAATGCTGATGAGCTCAGACATCTCCTCAGGTTTTGGCTGGGAAGTTAAAACTTTGTATGGTGAGTACTGAAAAATAAGGAAGATAGATGCATTATTGTAAATTAATGAAACATTTTCACTATTAGGTGTTTTAAACTTTATTTTAGCCCATTATTATTACAACCATACTCCAGATTAGATACAATATGTGCTCTTGTCCTCCTCAGCAGGTAGGAAATAGGAAAGGGGGAAGGGGGTGACAAAGGCTGCAGAGAATGTACAGGATCCAAGACTTCATACTGGGCTACTAAGGATCTAGTGGGTTGTGTGCAGGAGTCACAGAGGATGTGAAAGAAGAGCTGAGGTCATTCTGGCAGACAGAAGGAAAGGATATTATAGGAAACGTCCACAAAATTTGGCTCATCATTAAGAAAACTTAATTTTTCTGATCTTGTTAAAATATAAATTAATATTGACAACATTTCTTATTCTCACAATAGAGAAAAGGTTACAGACTTCCAAGTATTTGGTTTTTTATTGATATTCTCAGTACCAATAGAATCTGTCTTCTGTTTTTCAGAATGGCATTAAACAAAAGCTTGGAGATTAGTAGAATCAATGAGGGGAAATGCAGCTACAATACTTTAAACTTTTGACTGAATGAAAATCATTTTTTTAAGGGCAATAATAATTTCCAGTGATGACAGGGCCACAGAAATTTGTCTGTACATAGTACTAGTAAATGCAATGACATTAGAAGGAACCATAGTCAAATACTGTAGCCAGAAAATCTCATTTATAATCAGTCATACCAATCCATCTCTTGCAAGCAGCTGATTAACTGACAAATGCAACAACTCACTACACAAAGAAATAATGCAAGTAAAATATGTAATTCTTTTTTCTGTGTTATCTCTTGAAATGAGCAGCTGGGCACAAGGAGGAGAGGCAGTGACCCAGTAGGCATTTCCATCCTCTCCAGAGCAACAGCCACACAACATGCAGCACAGTAAATCACCTCTCAACTGGAATGTAAGTCTATTAAATTGATTTTATCCTAAATACATTACTTAGTTCTGGTAGAAAATAACAAAGCACTTCTGGTGTAAGTTTACAGACAGGTAAATCACACGTGACAAGCAATAAATAAGAACCTTTAGCAGAACAATATCCCAAGAACACATTCTTCCCAGGAGGTAGCACAGCCTGGCTAACAAGGACAAGAGCTGCTTTTCTTCCCTTTTTTTCTTTGCAGGTGATGCATCTCAAAAGGAAACAAGTTGCATTTTGTATTCAATCAGCCTGAGCATCCCAAGAGGAGAGGAAAAGAATGCAGCTATTGAATACAGGATTGTCCCTAGGTTCTGAAGAATCCAGAGTACTCTGTGAGTTTAATGGGTAACACCTCTGAGACAGAGATAAAATAAAAGTTAAATGTATAGTCTAAGCTTCAACTGGGTAAGATGAACTCCTCTATGGCAGACAATGCCTCCCTTGTATTTAAGAACTATTGAAGCATCACACTATGTCCTACTATTTCTTACAGAGGATCTTCATTCTTCTTCATTCATCTACAAATTCATATTTTTACCTATAACTACCTAGGCAAAAGGTTCTGGCTAATCTGAAGATCTAAATTTGCTTCCCTTTTATTGCAGGGAGTCACAAAAGAGCTGGCTCCCAGGACTAGTCACCTGACTTACCTCTGCAGCCATCATGCAGATAAGGATCTTCTTGGTCTAGTTCCTCCTTTGAAACCTCAACTAAAAAGAGGAGAGACAGGCATTTAGAGGAGAAAGCACTTTTCTTCTCACTGTAAAAAGCTGCCTCCTAGGGATGGGACTCAGACCAGGGTTTTGGATAAACCAAGACAAAACTAAATAACATTATTGACATATTTTCCAGCTATTTCATACTTCAATTTGACATTCAAATGCACAAGGCCATGGGGCATTTTCCATCTGACTGATTCAATATGAAAGTCCTGCTGTGATCATAGATTACATATGGGGTGAGGTTTTCAAATGCAGGTTCTTGACATGAGGCTTTTAACCTCATTTTCATAAGACAGGCTGTTGAGGCATGTTTGGCTTCCCCTGACTTTACAGTAGCTCTGGGTACTCACACTTTTAATGAAAATCAGATCAACCTCAGTTATTTGTTTAGACTTCAGCCAAAAAAGAACTCCACATGTAATTTTTGGGCACCTACTTCTGGCACTCTTTCAAATGTAGTTCATAGACCTGGACTTGGAGAGTTTTGATCAGTGGCACTTCTGCTCCATGCTGTGAAGACATCCACTGCCTGAACCCACTGCTTGCCCAAAAGACTAGCTAATGGGCTTGTTCCACTCCTGCCACTTTGAACACATGGATGGTGAGTTGCTAGTGAAATGTGTATAAACACAATCTCAAAATACTCGTTATTAATTAGGAAACTAGTCTCATTTCAACGTTTGTCCATGAGACTATCAAACCAGTGTTCACTTCCAAGTCTATAATACAGCATGGTTGTGCAAGCAAGTTTTTGTGCAGTGGCACACAGGCTGGGTTGTGCCACTCAAGCCCTAGGAGTACATTTTGGTCCTACAGAAGCTAATGAAATCAGTTTGCCCAAATCTGGTCTGATTTTGTACAGGTCTGTGCTATTGGACCCCTGCTGATACACTGCTAAGGGTGTACACTGACATAAGCCAGGTTTGAAAGGTCTGGAACAGGTCTGGTAACACCCTGGCTCAAGCAGATCAGTGCAGGTTTTGGTGGGGTTTGAGTTAAAGTGATGGATTAGGGTGATGTCTCCCCAAACCTGTCACTGGTGATCTGCAAGCCAGGCTGCCTGTTTTCATTGCTCAGCTGCCCCTGAAGGAGGCAACACTACACAGCATGACTTTTCTGCAGTTTCAGGTCTGTCTGCTAAATGAAAAAGGGGGAAAAAAAAACCCAAACTGAGGTCTGTGAGGGTCACTATGTCCACACTCATTCTCTTCAGCTCTGTGGACTAGGTATGGAGAAAGGTGGCAGGAGCTGCTGCCACTTTGATGTCCCTCTTGTTTGATAACATCCAAAGAAATCCAGATAACAAGTTTCCTAGAAGTGTTCAGTTCTCCCAGACATTTCAAATGCCTCCAGTTTGTGTTCATTTTCCTGTCCCACCAAAGGCAACATTAGACTTCTGCCAAGGTGACCAGGCCCATCTGGCTCTTAAACCCAACTACAAGAATTGGTTGTTGTTTTTCTTTATGATTAAGAATTTATCAGTGGGCAAAATGCTACTAAAAATTAATATCTTGTACTCAGTTTCCAAGATAAGATCATTAGTGGCCAAAATCATCTGTCTTTAAGTTAAATTCTGACAGCAGGAAGTGAGTGACCATTTTCCAGGTCTTTTAGCCTCCTGTGTACACGTTTCAGCTATCACTAACTAAAAAAAGAGCTCCAAAACATGCATCATTAAATTCCTTAGAGAAGATCTCAAGTTAGAGGAATTCCAAGAGCAATAATTTAAAGTACAAGCACTCCTTGTGCCCCTGTATCACTTTCCCTCTCACTCTTTTATAATTTGCAACATAAAATACCTTGCTCCTTCTTAGGAGCATCATCACTGATGGACACATCGATGCTTTCCTGATCTTTCAGACAGCAAGTTTTGAAGACAATTCCACACTGGTGTCCTATCTTTGGGTTGGGCTCACAACTCTGTCCTTGAATTTGGGCAGCCCTTCCCAGCAAGCAACAGTAACAACATATCTGTGACAAAAAGAGAAAGAAAAACAGAAAAAAAAAGGTCAAATAAATCAATGCACTTTTTGTCAGTCGTGTCAAAGGTGTTACCTCACCTTGGCAAATAGATGGAGGATTCCTGCAAACTCTTTGCTTTGGGACCAGAAGTGCTACTATACTTTGAAACTGGTTTTTTTTTGTTGTTGTTTGAAACTGTTTTGCTGGTTTCAAACACCAGCAAACAGTGGGAAATCTTAACACCTCTGCTTCTCTTTTGTGTCCTGCTCAATTAAAACAGGATACGATTGATGAAGTATTTAGGGCTGGGTTTATAACTACACTGCCCACTCAACTTCAGAACCAAAAATACCCATCTCTGAACTAACAACCAACTAAACAAACATGATTCACCCAAGGTTAGTGTTAACAGGTCACAAAGAGAAGCTATTTTGCTCTGAAAAACAGACTAGAGAGTCAAATATTTAAAAGCATCAGGGTCCTGACAGAGCTTCCAGCCATGAAACATGATTTACCTCTTCCAGACCTGCTCAGCTACAGTCCTGGAATACACCACAGAAGCAAACACAGGATAAGTTAGTCCTGTAGAGCTTTTCTTTTATTTTAAATTGAGGAGACACTGATGATTTTTTCAGTGGTTTTCCTTGCTGTTAGAAAGCAGCAAAGATGTTTGGTTCCCTGACACCGGTGTCTGCCAATTGGCACTGTCACATGAAAGCAGATTTAAGTATTTATTATTAATTTTATTCTTCTCTCAACTCTTTTTTCCTTGAAGAAAATAGCCCGTGCCATTAAGCAGAGCAGATGGAACATAAAGCAACTAAACATTGAACCAAATTTCTGAAAACCATTGAAAAGAAGGCAACTATTACATGTCTTTCATTGCTGGGATGTATACTGTGCTCTACATATATGTAATATATATGTCTATCTATAAATATATCATATATAGAGAGCTATATAATATATAGATATATCATGAAGTACTGTTTGGCAGGATGGTTGCTCACTACCCACTTTTTTCACTTGGTTCTCCAAGTGCTTCCATCCAGTGGCAGAGGCACTGGTTTCATCACTAACACATCTGGGATATTTCCTCCTTTTCTGGCTTTTCTAGATGACTTCAGAACTAAATACTTGATGACCTCTTCCAAGAATTGCAACATTTCTGAAGGGTTACATTTTCCTGAGGCATCCTTCTGGCAGCTTTTAACATCTGTCTATAATTTTGGTAGCTTTCCAACTGTCACAACTATAAATTAGAAGACAGAGCTGAAAACTGAGCTGAAGATTCGTTGTTTGACTGGAGCTTGGGTATTTTTGATAACCAGCTGATGCCTTGCCAAATTTTGACATTATGTATTTCTGGATATCCTCACTGGCTTCTACTGTTAGACAAATGTGGAATAATACTAAATAGCAGCAATAAGGCTAATTTAACTCATATTCACAGAGCACTCTGGTATCCTGAGACACAAAGCAGCACATCATGATAACAATCACTATCTTGCTAAGATTAATCTCATCATTCCCTTACTCACACTAATTCTGTCAGGGCTGTTAGCCTGTGCTGCAAGACCAGAGTCCAGAGTGCCATCTAGACTCTATTCATTCAGCTCTGGATGTTTTTGCAGTCATTTTCCAAAAGTTGTCAGCTGCCCAGAGGCATATTGTGATGACCACTCATTTGCTAGACCCATCACTGCCTTCATGGAGGGTACAACCCAACCATCAAGTTGTTGTTGCACACTTGCACTGCCTCCAAGTCTTAATTGATTCAAATAATAATCTAATATTTTTTCCTTTGCCTCTCCCCTGTTATTAACAAAAGCTCATGCAATTTCAAAGCTATGCCTTGATCTTGATGATGGGATAGAAAGCTGTGTCCTACTTCAAGTCCTCCAATCCCTTGACTCTTTTATACCTTGCCTTCCCACAGAAAGGAATAAAGATGGGAGGAATAAAGCAATAAACAGATGTGAGAAGTTTGAAGAATTTGCATGTGCTTAGGAAGCACTGGAAATTGCCCTCATCAATAAGCTCTCTTAATTAGTTAAATTTTGTAATATCTCTTTATTATATATGTCACCATTCGAGTTACCAGATCTGGAAGGGTGAATGTTGCTTTTGTCTGTCTGCCCACAAGAGGTCCCCCACTTGCTGAAAGCCTAACTAGCAGATGCTGTGAAAAACTGACTGAAAAAAAGACAAATAACAGCCCAACTGTTGAGAACTTTTGAAGATCTGAACAAAAATGAAAAATATATTCAGCAGTCCAAAGCAACAGAATTTTTGTGTTTGCCTAATACACACAACCCAAGTGTTCTTGACAGAACTGGGGAGATAAGGCTGCATCTCCACCTTTAGAAATGATGACAAATTTTGGGGAAATGTCCAAGCACCTCAAAGAAGGTCAAATTTATGCCAGCTTAACTCCTTTCTGCAGGGCTGTTATGGTAGAAACTTTCATAAGGCCATTTTTACATCTCCTGTATCATCTAGAAATTGGTTACTGTGTTTTAATGAAGATTTTAAAGATTAAGGATTAATCTTGCATTCTTTTTTTCAAGACAAGGAAAGATAAGCTTCCAAAAAAACCCAGAGGAATAAAATTACAATCATCATTACCTATTAGCAGAGGATTTAGTAGTGTTGGCTTAATGGTTGGACTTGATGATCTCAAAGGTCTCTTCCAACCTAAAGGATTCTATGATTCAATGATTCTATGCCTACAGCCTTTAAGTGCAAAAGCTGAGGCAAATGTTTTCCAAATATGGTCTTTTCATCTTCTTTCCAATCACAAGTTTTGGATTCAAAAGAAAGATCAGCTGCCTCATTTGCTGCAAAGTACTGCCATTAATTCTGCTCACTGAATTACTAAATCACTTTCTGCTTCCTTGAAGGAGGCAAGGAAGAGCCAAAAGATTTCTTATGTTGCCTCAACTAAACAAAAAGGACCAACTCAGGAACTCAGGAAAGGCTGCACAGAGGAGTCCCCATGCCCAGGAACAGGTCATGCCCTGGATGTGGTCAGCAGGTGACATATGTCCTCTCTGGAGGACATGCTCCACCACAACACAAGGTTATCCACTTGGAGAAAGGGGATGACTTCCCAGCCCTGGCATCAGTGGCATCCTACTGCCAGGAATGTGACCAAGCCAGAATTTTGATATGAGACTTGTGAGTCAGACACTGTCTGCCATCTTCTACATATATAGCTTTATTTAACTAAATGACCCAAAATGTTCAGCACCTTTGAGCAGTGAGAAAAATTAAAATCACTCCCATCTATTTTCCTCACCACTGAAAGAAATCATTGACAGTATAAGAGCTGTGGATGACTGGGCCATGGTCAAGGTCAGGACTTTACTGTTGGAATTTTCCTCCAAAATCACTCTGCAGAATGGCATGAACACTCCCATCCATGAAATGAGAGAAAAAGACAGCAGTAAATCACAGAATCATGTGATTCTATGATTCTAAAGGTAGAGGGCAGGGCACATATTAACTAAAGATGCCAATGATGGGCATTTTTACTCTATTCTCAAACACCATTATCACAAGCTAACAGATGTCTCCATTTGATTGTAAATTGAAGTCATGCTAACTAAGGACACATAAACAAGCTGGAATTCTAAGTGCACTGGGAGGAATTACTCCAGTCCTACCCCTCTGGACCACCAATACTGAAAACCACTGAGTCTGACCTTAGGCAAAAAAGCTCTAATGAAAGCTAAAGTCTGAAATGTGTCTGAGTTTCTCACCCATCCCTTTCTGCAGTATTGATGTCGTCAAGCAAATATTGTCTCCTAGCCAATTATCCAGTCAGGACTTCCCATCCTTTTGCATCCTACCCTCTGCCTCTGGTAAAATGTAGAGAGACTGTCTGATGAACTCAATGAGGAAGTTTCAAAGAAGCACAAAGTAGACAGTCTTAACAGAGACCCAAGGTGTAGGTGGTAAAAGAACCTATTTCTGTGCATCAAACTGAGCACAGTCAAAATGTAGTGAGACAGTCTGATGAACTCAAGGAGGAAGTTTCTCTCAAAGAAGCACAAAGTAGACAGCCTTAACAGAGACCCAAGGTGTAGGTGGTAAAAGAACCTATTTCTGTGCATCAAACTGAGCACAGTCACCTTCAGGGTCAATCCTTAACACCAACACAGACAATCAATACTATATCTTAAAGGCAAACAGCAGCAGCTCTGATGTCTCACCTTGAAATATTCTGCTTCACAGGTGGAATTTTCACCAACATGTGAGTCACACTCCTCCTGCACGTTGGCAAACCTCATCCCATGGGAACAGTGCTCCTGCTCCAGCTGGCTGTGGCAGCACTGCACCTGAGTCATCCTGGAGGCAATGGGAGAAGAATGTCACACCCAGGGCAAGAACAGGGAACACAACCTTTGCCAACGAGCACTTGTACTAACCTCATAGAAAAGAGGTTCCTGTGGGCACACATTTGAGTTATAAAGTGAAAATATTCACCAGGAGTAAGCAGGATGTCTGGGGGCTGTGTCCAACCCAGCTTAACTGCCTCTCTACCTTGCAGTGTGTCCTAATATTTTGTTTTTTAAGGAAATGGTAACTTCTACCACGTTTGCCAAAGGGCTCAAGGTCTCCAGGACTCACATTCTTGTGTGTTTTGTGACAGCTGGTGGCTCAAGAGAGGATGGCAAGGACACAGGACAAAAATCTGCAGGAAACTCAGCTCTGTTAGTTCCACTGTGCATAAAACCATGTAAATACATTCAGCAAACCCATACCCTTTACTCTTAAAAATCCTTTATTTACACTGTTGAAGATTTTGGAATTATAAGGAAGACCCACTGAGTAGGTTTCTCCTACTGTCATGTGAGTTAAATGGATTTCCATGCTCAGCTCTGGAGGAGCTTCCCTGCTCCTGGGTACTTGGCTGAGATTCTGCATCTCTGTGCATATTGAAGTGAGGTTGTCAAGCTACATTCCTGAAGATTCCTATTTATTGGATTTTCTGATGGTCTGACTGGGCAGTTCTCACTTGGATAAAAACAGCTATGAGGTTTCAATGCATAAAAACAAATCCCAGGATAAGTTCAGGAACAAATTATTCAAAAAGAGACTCTAAAGTCATAGTAAGTTATGCCCAGGACAGTAACTTTATTTAGCAGAATATTTGAAGTTTTTGATACATGATTTAGTTCCAGTTTGGAAGTATATGGAGCTTTTTTTTTTTGTTGCTGAAATTCCCTCTGAAGCAAAATTTCCATTCCCTGCCCAGCTCTGGGGTGGTCTGACTGTCAGGATTTTGGAAGCCTGTAAAACCTGAAGCCCAAGAGTGTGGGAGCTGAGACTTTCCAGCTCCTTCAGCCCTCCAAGTCCTGCTGAGGAGCTAGATATGTTAGCCACAGACAAACAAACCAGGAGACAACCAAACAACAGCAGCCTTTCAGTAGAGCTGTTTGATTTCCAGCATGGCTTTTTTTTTTTCCAAATACAAGTCATCCCTTTGAAATCTCTGACAAATTGGCAATTTCAACCAAAACAAAGACATTTTTTCAAATGTTTCCCACAGCTGTATTCATAAGTCATGTGGCCCACCCCAACTGTAATAAGGAATTAAACATCAATTGGTTACTAGATTAAAATACCAGTTGTTCAGTCTCAGAACGACAACAATAAAATCACACTTCATTGCTCAAATCCTGCAGCCAAGTTGCACTGGTAGCAAACACTGTTTGAGACTGGAAATGCTTATGTGGCTCTAACAGAGGTGGAAATCCTTGAAAGGTGGCAGAGAAATATTCTGGAAAAATCTGCCCAGTATTGGTCTTCCAACTTTGCAACTTAACCCCCCTCAGGAAAATCATGAATGTCTGAAAGGGGAGTTTTATTCAGGGCTCATGAGTGGACAGAAATCACTCAGACATTTTTAAAACCCCTTGATTCTTTGTTGCAGATGTTGAGCTAAAATCAAAGTTATTTAATTGCTAGGTAATCTGATTATAAATTAAGACACCATGTTTTATATATTCTCGCTTCTACTTTCTGTTAAAATTTAACTAATGTCACAGAATTTCATGGAAAAAATTTCCAGCTCAAAATTTACATCCCATTTATCTTCACAATCCTTTCCCATTTATTACCCTCCTTCCCAGAGGATGTACTACCAAACCAGCACAGATTTTCTAATCACCTATTTTTCCTTTCATTTATTTCCATAAATGCATTAACACTTCACTTTGCTCAGAAAAAGATGTCTTTGTTGTCAGCCTAATTTCATTACCTTCTGCTTCTCTCCTTCTGCTTATTACCCCACCTTCAAACTATGGCAGTGCTATTCATGTGGAAGGTCTTGGACAGAAAATATTAAAATTTAAAAAAAGGAATTATTCCACTCCAGGATTATTTTGCAAAAACAAGCTGGGTCTCCCATCCTTAGTCCTTTCAGTTTGCAGTTTAACATGCAGCAGAAATGAACTTAGGAAAATTGAGAGCATGAAGATCTGATATTATTAATGACACAATTTGACACATGAAAATCATAAAGAAAGCCTCAACAATGAAAATGCATATATTTGATCATGTGTTATAAACTAGCAAAGGACTCAAGTAAATATTGATTCATCAAACCTTAAAATTAATCACCTGCAATCCATAAACAACTTTATAGCAAAGGTTTTTGGAAGGCAAAGGGTAAAATTACATTTCCACTTGCTAAGAGCTCTGGGCAGGGGAAACTCCTTTTTGAAACTAAGATTTATTGGGCAGGTTGAGTTCAAAAAATAACTGGCAGCTGATTCCAGCTGCTGTGAGTTCAACCACATCACAAGAAAATGGAGGAGTGGGCAAAGGGCTGCTGTTAACAGCAGCCAAATATATCCATTAAAACTCTACACCCATATTTATTGAGTCATAAAGACACAGAGAAAAATGCTGTCATTGTGCAGAGTGTGAATACAATGAGACACACTCATTTGTAAGAGAAGCAACCAGAATAAGAGGTGGCAGACAGGACTGGATGTTGAGCCTGGAGCCTTGTTTCAACTCAGTGGAGCTACCAGTAGCCAGATAGATCCTAAAAACTCATGTGAAGTTTAGACAGGGGGTGGCTCACATGGGCTGCAAGACCAGTGAGCATGTCTGCTGTTTGTGCTCTACAATATCCACCCAAGTGACACTCACACAGGCAGCAAGTCCCTCAAGAACCACAAGAGACCTGGGAGAAGGATCTTAAAGAGATGTTGAAACCCAGAACTAGGGATGTTTCTAGGATGCCCGTGTTCACGTGGAAACCCTTCCCATTACTACAAATGGGCTTTAAATGGTTGGGAAAAAAGGCCAAAGGGGTGCAATTCTAATGCAATAAGGCAAAGAAAAGCAAAAGAAACTCTACCAGTGGGCTTGCTTTGAGGAAAGGACTGAATCTGAAATGCAAAGGGTTCAAAACCAGCATGTGAATTCTTGCAGGGCATGTTGGGGAAGGTACTTGCATCCAATTTATCCTGTGATGTGCAGTCATTGCAAAGTAACCACCCAAATTCCTATTTACTTCAGTAAGCACCAAATCTGCTTGCTTCTCAATGTATTTTCTCATGCCTTCAACTTCTGACCTTACAAACCCAAGCTAAAATGTGCAGGGCAAACTCTGGCATGAAGCAATTTGGGTTTGTACACCCAAGAGGCCATGCTTTTTTAGAGCACTCATCCAGACTGTCCAACAATTACACTCAAAAGGTCCAAGCTGGGATTTAAACAACCACATCAGTGATAAGATATCTGCCCCAAAGCAGCTCCTCCTGCATGTGGGTATCTAAACATGATGCAAGTTGAAAAATCTGTAACCACTAAGGTATCTTGTGCCACATTCTCACCTCCAAGTGCAATGAACCTGGTTTTGCTCCTGTCTCTCTCTGTGCAACAGGAATAAATGCACAAAATCAGTCTCATTACACTGGAAAGGGAATCAGGCTCCCTCACTGTTCATTTTGGCTCCAGTTCAGTCAAATGTGGCTCTTACTTTTGTGTCTGAAATGGTTTTTCTGTACCTCTCACAGATATGGCAGTTTGCAATCAGAACTGCATAAAATAATGCTGCAATTAAAGAAAGTGCTCAAAGGTGCCAGTTTTACTTGGCAATTTTTAGTGTGAAGCCAAACTTCAGGGGGATGTATGTTTATTTATCATACAGTCAGGAATAAATGCAACTGAATTGCATTTATCCACTTCTTTCATCAGGAAGCCCTCACATCTCTCCCAGAATACATTTACCAATTTCTGATTTACCATCACTATAATTTTCCTATTTATTTATCAGTTACTCACAAAAGCTAGGTGAAATATTAGTAAGCTTTTTCTGTTCATCTGAAGTCCTAAAGACTCTCTAAAATGGGAATCTTTAAAACAATAATTTACATTTACAGCAGAACTGCCACTCCCATTAATCAAAAGATCATTAAATCATCAAGATTCTCACTCCCACATTGTTCAGAACACTTTGTTTCCTGCTTTCCCTGCCTGTTTTGTCTGCAACTGAGTCTTCAAGTATTTCCCAAACTGGGATTTAAGTGCTATCTGTCAATTCTTCTGTGTAAGAGGCTACTTTCAATGCCAATATAAATGAAAAAGTCAGAGAAGATGGAGAGACTTCCCTGCAAGACACATTCTTTCCATAATAAAGATCAATTCAACACTTCTATTACCAAGGTTAAATCACTTTGCAATCCATTTGAAAAGACAGAAGGCAGCAATGCTCTAAATACAAAATCCTCTGTGCAACTGCTCCACAAACCACCAATCACAAATTCTTAGCTCCACAAATTAACTGTAACAAGTGCATTGAACAGCAAAAAACAAAGCAAACTATCACTGCTATAAAAAAACAAATGGCCCAACCATATAAGAGATTCAGTATAACTGAAGTATTCATGTGCAAATAATTTTAACCTTTAGCTTCATGATTTCATTTGCTGGATTACATCTAGAGAAAATGGTGTTGTATGAAATGTCCATGGGCCTGATTCACAAACAGTACAAACTGAAGAAGCTTTGCTGACATGACATGTACTGACTGCAGGCAGAGTCAAAGCCCTGTGAGCAGTGTACAGTGGAAAAACTTCTCCCAAAGACAGCACATGTCAAACAGATTACAGCTGGGTGACAACACCAGACCAGCAGCAAAAATTTAAAGGATTTAATGGAAGAACAGCAGGTACTCCCCAAGGCTAGATGTGGATTTAAAAACTTGGATTTAAAAGCTGGGTTCTTCACGTTCTAAATCAGCTTTCACATCTGCCAACCCCACGGTTTTACATGAAAATATAAACAATATTTAATATGTAATATATAACTATATACCTGCATTCTCTGGACTCGGATATTAATGGTAGAGAAGTACATATTCTGTTTTTAGTTGCCCATTCAATACCCTTCTCACAGCATTCTTCCACTGCAAGATCTGCAGAAATGAGGAAAGAAAGAACACAACATGTTTAATATAACTTTAGTAAATAGTTTTATATCTACTAGTTAAAAACAAATGAGAATCAGTTCATTTCCCCTTCCCTAATCTGCACACAGAATTGTGTACCTGACCCAGATAGTACCTGGACCTGATATGTCAGACAGATGAATCTCATCACAAGTTAATTAGCAGAACTAGTTTTTCCTGAGGTTATCATCCAATTAATCTGTTTATTCAAAAGTACATTTGTAAATACAAAAGTATTGTACAGAGATATTGTGATCACTTAACATATGAATGAAAAATTACAGATACCAATTTATACCAACCCTAAAACTCAGAGGAAAAACATACTGAAGATGATAATTTGTGCAAGGTATGATTTTTGCAGAAGTCTCTAATTTAATAAAATTAAATACTGTTGATGAACTGACAGGCACTAACAGGTTTGCTTCATATTCCAAGGGGAAAAGTTCACTGCACAGCAGGTGTATCAGAACTTGGAATAAAACACAAGTCACACTTTCCTATTAATTATCTTGCAGCCTGGACACTGAACAGCTCCTTGTACAACTGGTACAAACCCATCTAAATGTTCAAGAGGCATCTTTCTGATGTTTTCTCTTTGTTTCTGAAGTTTTTTGCCTGGTGGCCCTGACAAGCTGCAGCCACAGATGCTGAGGGAGCTGGATGATGTTATCACCAGGCTACTCAGAGTCATCTTTGAGAGGTTATGGTGAATGAGAAAAGCCCCTGAAGAATGAAAGAGAACAAATTTCTGTCTTCAAGAAGACCATGAGAGAAGACTGTCTCCCACACCATCATCACAGACAAGCTGACAATGCACAGGTTGCACAAATGGCCAGTGAGGTGGGCACTGGGAAAGACTGTTCCATCACCAAGTTCTCAGATGATACAAATCTGAGAGGAGTGGCCCATGCACCAGATGGCTGTGCTGCCCTTACCAGCTGGAAAGCAGCCCAGCAAAGAAGGACCTAGGTGTACTGGTGGACAACACCAAGCTACTCAAAAGCCAGAACTCGTTTTCACAGCATATGAAATTCCATCTGAACACAAGACACTACTGTGAGTGTGTCCAAACACTGGATGATCTCAAGGGGCCCTTTCCTAAATGATTTTGTGACTGATTACTGAATTAAAAATAAACTAGATCCTTTCATCTGCAGGCTGCTGCACTGCACAAAGGAAGGCACAACCTATTTACTTCTTTTTGATGGAGAAGCTGAAATAGAGAACACAGGACTTGCCCAAATGACACAGCAAGCTGGTAGCAGAACAGGCAGTGCACACCAGGTCATTTCCAGAGCAACTCTCTCCACTGGATCACAAAATGCCTCAGATGATTGTCTCGTTCTTAATTTTGCTCCAAGAACATCTGAAGAGTGCAGAATTCACTAAGAAGCAGCATTATAGTCAAGACTAGTCATCTTCAAAAATGACCTTCTACAGAGTCTGGTAAGGACAAGCATCTCCCTCCTCTGGCTCACCCTATACCAGTGACAAAACCATCATTTCCAAGGTGCTCCTGATGTTTGGGGGTTACACCCTCCTTCCATCTGTCCACGTATCCACCTCCTAACCTGTTGCATTTATCAAAATAAGGAGAAATATTAAATTGCTGACAGCCACACTTACTTGGACAAACATTGGACAGAGTTTTCACGAGCACCTCAACTGGATCTTCCTATGTGGGAAGTAAAAAGCAGCTGAAAACAAGTGGAGAAGACAACCCCTTCCAGAAACTCAGTTGTTCTCAGAGAACAACCTATATTGCCTGCTGGTGATTTTCATCCAATAATTCAAAGCAAAAAAAGGGAAAAGTTAAATGAGACTTCTAGGATGCATCTGTCACCTTCAGGCAGAGTCACCTTCTCTTAAGACAGTTCCCAATTGTACAGTGCAGAGCTCTAGAGCATACTTCTGGCTATCCCTTTTTGGGAAAGATTACACCAAAATGGAAAATGTGTAAAGGAAAGGCTAGGAGAATGGCCAGGAGAATCAAAGCTCTGTCATATGAGGAGAAACTGGAAGAAACAGACCATTTTAAGCCTAGATAAGGAAAGCTTGTGAAAGGATGTGGCTCCTGTCAACAAATATTACAGCAGTAAACAAGAATCAGAATTATGGGATCAAGTAAACCAGACATTTTAAAATAAAATAATTATAAAATAAAATAATTCTAAAATAATTATAAACAGAATTACATTAACTCTTAGTTTATAACATATAGAGCTCTGTACTCCATGACCCAGGTCACCTTTCTAGCCTCACTTACATACCCAAATTTGACCAAAATAATGGTCAATATTCTGTAAGGTCAAGGCAATATTTGTCTTGAATTCCTCAGTGTGCCCAGAATTCATGCCAGTGTCTGAAAGCTGATTGTAGTTTATAATGCTACAGAGAAAATCAGTCTTGTAAATAAATATCTGCCTGTGCTGAAAGCCATGAATTTGTGTGATTTCTTTGAGAACAGGGACCCTGTCTGGTGCTCTCTGTCTGCCAGGGTGCAGCCAACAAACCTAGGGACCAAATTTCATACAATGTGTTACAAATAACCACATTTTTTTTTGTGCTGTGGTCTGCAATCAATCTTAACTGTTGAAACGTTGCAGAAAAATCGTTGAAAAATGTAACTGAAGTGCAGAGCTGGCTGCAGGTTTTTGCAGGGCTTTGTACAAATGCCTCTTCTGCCAAGTTCCTCCCCAGGAGGACAATCCCTGGCTCTGGACACCAGTTCTTCCCTCTCAGCTCTGGCAACACACCTCTACTCCAACCAAACAACTCAAGAAGTCAAAGCAGGCCAAGCTAAGCAAGCTTGTCTATAGGAGTGCATCCAAAGAAGGATTTCAGATACTTTTTTGAGGGAGAACTGTGGTCCAGTCTCATTGTTCTGGTGACATCACAATTCATATCCTCTAAAGAGCCTGCCAAAAATCTCTGGAGAATAGAGGGAAGTGAAAAACAAGCAGTGAAAAAATAAAAAGGACTCCACCCTCAAGGCCATTCTTCCAAAAGATAACAATAAATCAGTGAAAAGCATTTTCTCTAGCTTGACTCTGCAGTTTTCTTTTTAAAACAGTGATTCGTGGACAAATTTCTTTCAAAATCTCAGAATGTGGATCTAACACTTTGGGTGTCAACTCCTGGTTGCACTGGAACCAATTCTGACTATTCTGGCATGAAACTGTTAATGAGTATTTAGAAACAGGACAGATTTATCAGCTCCTAACTGTATTTTTCCAGCACTGTGGATTCAGCTGTACATCTGCACATGCATGTGGCTCCCAGCTGGAAATCTTTGTGCAAGGAGTTCATAGTGAAGCTATTTGTGACTCCTCACACCCTCTTCAGGGGACCAGCAGCACAGTGGGGCCATGGCCAGTCTTCAGTTCCTCATAACTGGGAGCTCATAATGCAGGGTGCCTGAAAGGAGGGAGTAGTGGGAAACAGATGGTAGGAATTGGTTACAACCTCTGGAAGAATCTCACTGACTGTGCAGAAAGTGATGGCTCTTTCTTCTCTGAATGTGACCCTGTGTCTTCTCCTGCAGTTGATGGGCTTGTGGCACCCCTCAGAGCTGGAGTGCCAAAGATGATCCAACAGGAATTACAGTGCTGCTCTTCTGAACCTGATGCCCCTCCAACTGTTTTGCCCAATGCACCATGTTTCGTGCAGATCAGCCAGGGAAATCTCAGACAAAACACTTCTGGGAAAGGCTGATGATTGTGTTTAGCTGAAAAGTGGCCTTCTATTTGGAGAGAAAAACCCTACAGGAAAGTTGTCTCATGTAGGAACACACTGTCTGGCCTGTTTTATAAGTCTGTGAAGCAATTGTTCAGCTTTTTGGTATCATGAGACAGAAAAATATGAAGATAAAACAGAGATCTTTTAAAATGGTAACACGTTCACTTCATCTTCACTCAGATATACTAATTTGCCATGTTAATTGACTGGGAAAAGCCAATATGTTGGGAAAAAAAATCAAAAGGAACTTTCTCACTACTGTGTTCCTGTCAAAAAGTACATGCAGCAGGGCATCCAAAAGAACTTAAGAGTTGAATTAGTATGTTAACACCAAGCATGCCTGTCCTGATGTTAGGATGGTGTAAACAGTATTCTGAAAGAGATTTCAGGAGTCTTGGGAAGGAGGCAGTAGAAACATAACTAGAGCTCTAATTTTACAAGAGCTGCCATGAAGACCTGTCAGATAAGATGTGATTAAAGGTCACACAAACTCAAACATTTTGTGCACATGCTGCATTCATGTGCTAGCTATGAATTATGCTAACATAAACAAAATGTGTAGGAGCATATGGTTGCTTTAAAAAAAAAAGGTACTTTGCTAATCTTAACAGGATTGCCATATTGTGTGGGAGTTCAAAGCAAGGAATGTGGTTAAAATCTGCATAACCTTAAGACTTCTGTGATGTCATAATTGCTTATTCAGCTGCTACAGTGAATATTTTCTGCAAAAGAAAGATAAGCTTGAGAATGTTACCCAAAAAGCACGATTCCTGGAACGAGAAACCCTGAATCATTTCTGGGAATTGGGCAAAAAACGAGTAGAAGTCATAGATAATTTTTTATGGCAGTAGCACTCCAGCTAGATCAAAAAGGGGCAGATTTTTTTTAAGTAACAATCTACAATAGCAGCTATTCTGTAGAGCTGCTGCTGAGGGAGAAGCCTGTGTCCAATCCAGGGGCAGATAGCTGTTCATTACTCAGTGCTGATCTCTGGAACAGCTATAAAGCTGATGATGACATCAAACCAAAGCTACACCTCAGCCTTGGGTGGGTTTATCAAGCTGGTGCTGGTGAAGCTTTTCAGTTGTCAGTGCAGGAAGGGATGTGGCCATCAAATCCACTGACTTTCCAGCCCACATATCCAGCTTGGTGTATATATATGCATTTGGAAGTGAGGCCAGGTCAAGGGGTCAAAGTCACACCTCCCTCTCAACATCTTTTCAATCTTTTAAGCACGTTAATTGATCAAGTTTGTAAAATGTGGTTCAGGTTCTTGCCCTTCACTCAATTCACTCAGTAAGAGACTCAGCACTGTGGAATCTGAGAAAACAGAACATGTCATCACTCCTCAGCATATGCAGACACAGGCAGCAGATGGACTCTGTGAAAGCTCAGCACTAGTCCAACATGTTTCAGTGTCAGTAAGTTATCCAGAATATCTGGAACTCATGATTACAACACACATGCATTGGTTTAGCTTTCCAGTAAGAAAAATATTTCCAATTTTCACTGTGTACCTTTCTGATGAAGCCTTTCTTGTCAAGAAAACTCTCACTAGTGATGCTCATCCAAAGCCCCAAGCCCCACATACAGAATTTGATTCTCAAAATGACACACCAGTCCTCAAGATTATTTGGATCCACATTCTTTCTCTTCCAGCATCCCTTTACAGCTGAATTATCCTGACACAACACTAGAGCAACTGCACATCCCTTTGGCCAAGGCTTCACTGTGCTGTAGGTTCAGGACAGACAAAGAGTGCTTGGTCTCATCTGCTTGAGAGAATGAGACCTGGCTAATATTAGCTGGACAAGTCAGCTGCCCTTGCTGCAGGGACAGCAGACAAGTGCTGGCAGCTGGGATTTGTAGCCTTCATTTTTTGGCTGTCCTTACAACAAGCCATGGAAATGCTGTTTCTGGCAGAGCAAACACACTCTAGCTGGCTGCTTAAGGCATCCAGTGGACCCAAAGACAAGAGGGACACCAGCTGACTTCAAAGGTCCAAAATGACAAGTACAGCCTTGCTGCATCTTGAGCTTCTGGGTAAACCTAGGGATTAAGGCACAGGGAGTTGAGGAAAGGGTGAAGGAGGCCTGAAAGTAGCAAAGAGAACATCTGGGCTCATGATTCCCTGAAACAAATGCTTTGAGTGATGGGGCAATGAGGGAAAGCATTCTCCATCTAGGAAGATGGGAGTATTTGCTGAATCTCTTCAGGCTGGAGCTGGAATGGAGACACCTCTGACATTAATGCTTCTCTCTTCCAAGCCTGGAGGTCATACTGGATCTTTATGGCCTGAGAAACAATCACACAGTTTGTGTGCTACTGAGAAATACGCTGTTCTCTCCAAAAAGGCTTAAAGGGTTTGAAGCTTTACCTCCCAATGAAGTCTCAGCTGAGTGTGGTGGCTTCACCACAGCTGAAATCACTTGAAGAAAGCCAGTTACCCCACTAACTAAAGCAGCAGCATCCTGAAGGAAATGCCTGGTATGTTAGTGTCTGCTGGGGCTGGTTTTGAAACAACCAACCTATTACTGGAAACTTCCTTAGGTCTGGAGAACACTCATGGATGGGGAATGTGGCTCTGGGAGCACCAGCAGTGGCCATCACACAATTAGGGGAATTTTTCAGGCATGGCCAAACTCATTTTATAAGTGTATAAAAGAACCTCTTAAAATGGTTCATGGAAATAGCTGGACATGAAGTAGGTGCCAGGTTTGGTGATGAGGACAGGCTGAAGGGAGGCAATGCTATGTGGCAACATGTCCTGTTTTCTCTCATGGGGAAAGTAACTGCTTCAGTGTGCTTTTTGTTTAAAATTTTACCTCAAATTTAATTAAAAAAACCACAACTTCCAAAAATGTAGGCAACTGGTTACTAAAAAATTAGAAAAGATGACTCCATGTATTGCAGGACAACTCTAAGGCATCCTATATACATACTAAAATACCACAAAAGATAAGGATATAGGAGCCCTCAAGAGGTTTTCTTGTCCTCCCCACTACTCTCAGGCAGAACTAATAAAATTTGGTCAAATTTAGGCAGATTTCAGTTGTTTAAAATTGTATCAAGTGAGTCTGATTCCACAACCTCTCTGGGCAATCCGCTCTTCTGTTTCCCTGTCCCTCATTATAGGATATAGATGGGATAAAATGTATAGCACAAGAGGAAAAGGTTCACACAGGGAAGGAACCACAGACTTTAGAGAGCAGGAAGAAAATAAAAATCCCCTATTTTTGCATATAATTATATAGCAGTGGCTTAGGGAAGGTTTCATTTTGGAGAAAACATTACTAGAACTCTCTCTTACAAGGCATTTTCCTTATTTTTGAAATTATTTATACTGAGCAGCAAATTGACATCTAGTTCTTCCAGATTTTCTGCCCAAGTATTGATATTAGAAGTGCTCAGTACTTAAAATTTGGTCAGTCATAGGAGCTTCAAAGCTGGAAGACCAGTGTTTTGAATGGATTTGTATGGTATATCCTTCCAGGGCTTAGTAAATCCTAGGGAACACCCTAAAAAGCTGGAATATACCAGATATTTCTATAGCCATACACTTACTTTGGCATGTATACAAAACATTTTTTAGGTATTGCTTTATTACTAAGCTTAA